TTGTATCATAATAATTGTAAAAATATATATATATTATAAAACTATTAATAATGGCTAGTAATATGCAGAATCATAACCAGACACATCATCTCAAGTGAGTTTCATCACTTTACTTATATATGTTAAAATTAGAAGTATATATATATATATATTCGTTTGCATATTAGCATTTTGGGTAGAATTTAGAAATTTTGATGAAAAGAAATGTTTATTTAACTACGAGTTATAAGAATCTATTGATCAAAATTTTTAAATTATACTAAAGAACACATATATATATATATATAATTCGATTAGATATTTAAAAAAAATTATATATATTTTTTTTGTCCCATCACAATTATTATATATATGTATATGATATAATATGTATATATAAAAACGAATATATATATATATACATGTATATATATGAATTTTATATGAATTAGAAGCTGATTTAAATTCAAATGTCATTTTTCTCTCAACAATTATCAGCCACGAAAATGATAGTTGGAAGAAGAATTTACGGTTACCTCCTAAAGATATAAGACCACAAACTGAAGTAAGAATATGTTATCTTAATTTTTAATTCATTATATCTATGCATCTATACATTTTATGCATTAATCAACTAATTAATTATTCTTTTACATATTGCTTTTTATCAAAATAAATAATAGGATGTAACAGCTACAAAGGGAAATGAATTTGAAGATTACTTTTTGAAACGAGAATTACTAATGGGGATATTTGAAGCAGGATTTGAACGACCATCACCTATTCAAGAAGAGTCGATACCTATCGCCCTTACCGGTCGTGATATCTTGGCGAGAGCTAAAAATGGCACTGGTAAAACTGCAGCTTTTGTGATTCCATCGTTAGAGAAAATCAATACTAAAAAACCAAAAATTCAAGCATTATTACTCGTTCCAACAAGGGAGTTGGCCTTACAGACATCACAAGTTTGCAAAAGTCTTGGTAAACATATGGGTGTTCAGGTGATGGTAACAACTGGTGGTACAACATTAAAAGATGATATTTTACGTTTATCTGAAACTGTGCATATTGTTGTTGGGACACCTGGTCGTATTTTGGATTTGGCCGGTAAAGGTGTTGCAGATTTTAGTGAGTGTCCAACATTCGTAATGGACGAGGCTGATAAGTTGTTAAGTCCGGAGTTCTCTCCAATTGTTGAACAATTATTAGGATATTTTCCAAAAAATCGCCAGATAATGTTATACAGTGCTACATTTCCTTTAATTGTTAAGAGTTTTAAGGTAATAATATTAGTAATTATAATGATAGTAATAATAATATTTGTGTAATATTTGCTGCAATGATTTGTTTTTTTGAAATAATAGGAGAAATATCTTGTGAAGCCATATGAAATTAATTTAATGGACGAGCTAACTCTTCGCGGTGTAACACAGTACTATGCATTTGTAGAAGAGAGACAAAAAGTACATTGTCTTAATACTCTATTCTCGAAGGTTTGTAATTTTATTATATTCAGTATGAGAGATTGATTGATTGATTGATCGATCAATCAATTATATAAATTAGAATTTACCGACTAATTATATTTTTATATTGATTTACAATTGTAATTATTACGGTTACTTTAATCCACCATTATCAACTTCATTATCAATACCTTCTTCTTATGTTTGTTAGTTACAAATCAATCAATCGATTATTTTTTGTAATTCAACAAATCGAGTCGAACTTCTAGCTAAAAAAATTACTGAACTTGGATACTCTTGTTTTTATAGTCACGCCAAAATGTTACAAAGTCATCGTAATCGTGTTTTCCATGATTTTAGAAATGGCGTCTGCCGTAATTTAGTATGTTCAGGTATGTAAATTTATTTTTTAAAAAACTATTTATTTAGATGTACATTTAAGCACATTAATTTATATATTATTTTATTAAATCATATATATATAGATTTGCTTACCCGTGGTATTGATATTCAAGCGGTAAACGTGGTAATTAATTTTGATTTTCCAAAGAATGCTGAAACATACCTTCACCGCATTGGTAGATCTGGTCGTTTTGGTCATTTGGGCCTTGCGATTAATCTCATTACCTATGAAGATCGTTTTAATTTATACAAGATTGAACAAGAATTAGGAACTGAAATTCAACCGATCCCTCCTGTAATTGATAAACGATTATATTAATTAAAAAAATATTTAAAGTCGTACAATAATAATTTTTATTAGTATCACGTGCAACCAATAAAATTCTCCCCCCTATAAATGCACGCTCTCATTCCCAAGGGGGTGCACTTACGGAAGATTCACTGTATATGAATTGACCCCCTTTTTAAAGCTGAATGGTGGTGGTTTTTTAAAAATCCAACATGTGAATCACATAATATTTCAAAATTTTAACTTTTGAGTATAGATGATCCGCACTATATTAAAATTTGAACCCTAAAGTTTCTTTACGACATAATGTTCATTTTGTTGCAGTATGCCCCATCAAATCATTCGAACATTATAATAAAAGATTATAATATAATATAAATAACTTACTATCAGATATTTTCTGGGATCCATATTATGATGAACAAAAAATCACCTTTCTAGATTTAACCAATGGAATAATTCCAAAATCATTAACAAACCATATATATAAAATCCCACGTTGTAATCCACATCATAATACAACAATGGAAACAATTATCACAAATTTATGGAAACCTAGTTGTGAGTTGTCCAAGAAGAAATCAAGAAAAATATCACAAAATAAAGAGAAAATATCTAGATCACAACAACCCTAGCAACGAAATATCTCTCTCAATTTCAAGTTGGATGAGTTGGGAAATATCTTGACAAAGAAGTCAAAGAAATGGGGCGCGTTGTATTAATTCTCCAATTCAAAAAAGAGGCCTCATGAGACTTTGTACGACGTCAAGTCACCCCAAACGAATACCTTCTATCAGAGATAGCATTGGACATGGACATTGGATATGTATTGGGACAATGTCCAACATATTAATATTATGTCCACAAGATGCATTGGACAATGTACAGCATTGTCCAATGCCAACCCTGCTTCTGTGATAAAACGGGGATCGTGCGTGCATTCAAATTAAAAATTTGCCAATTAAAAAAGGGGCTCTGCACTCAATGTTACCCAAACGCCCCACATTTAGTTATATTCCTAATTTCAAAAGCATATTCAATATCATAAAAAAAAAGCTGTTTATTTATTTATTTTTTTGTTTAATTTTGATTTGATTTGTTTGTTTGATTTTTTAGATAGTGATTTGATTTTGTGAATTTAAACAATAAATGGAAAAAATGCATGTAAATTCAAAAAAGAAAGGATAAAAGAAGAACTAAATTTATACTATTTACTATTTACTTATTTACTATTTACTATATAAAGTCTAATTATTACTTATTATTATTAATATTTAAAAAATTGATAATTATTTTTTAATCAATTAGTTGATCGGACAAGATGATGATTAGATGAAGGAATATAGGAAAACGTGAAGGAAGGAAGAAAGAAGTATTAAACATTATGAAAAATTAGGAGGAAAAAATAGGGAAAATTAAAATAATAAAGGAATAAAGGAAAAGAAAAATAAATATTATTTCAAATTTTTTCAATCAATTAATTAATTTAATTATATATATATAATAGTGTCACCGATTAAATTTGGGAGAGCGTGTTTTAATTGGTGATAACAATTATTTTTGTATTTGAGTGGATCAGAATGAATAGGGGATTAACGAATTGATTTTGTTATTAGCAAATAATTTTGTTTAAAGAAGATAAAAGTTTTAAATAAAATAAAATATTTATCTTATTTATTTAGTCGAAACTAATTAACTTATCAGAAGTTACTTTTACAGTAGGTCAAATTCAAGTTCGTTAGTTAAGCCCATTTGGGTTCATGAGCCCATTTGGGCGCATCGTCACTAATTTCTACTAAATATAGTTAAATAAATTAAAATATTAACGTGTTACGGATGGATTAATTAATAAAATGAATATTCGTAACACGATAATAATAAGAAAATAAATGAAATAAAAGTAAATAATAAATAAAAATAGAAATAGAATTAACTTGACCGGAATTATGAGATTCGTCCAAAATATCTGCGTTAAAGTCTAATTCCGGTAAAAATAGTATCGTGTTTGTTTGTTGTTTTGTAATGTGTGATAATTTATTGATTTGATTTTTTTGGATATATAAATATATAAATCCGGTTCTAAATAAAAAAAATAAAAAAATAAAAATAAAATAACAATCTTTTTTTTTTGTTAGCCTGTTCTTTTTTCTTGTTGTTTGATTTTTGTTTCTATAACTTGATTTTTTGTAGTGGTAGTAGTATGTTAATAAAGATAATGATGGTATATTTTCTTACAAATCTGTTCCAATTTATCTAAATCTTTTATCCAGATGTCTGTGTGCTCATGGAAGAAATTTGAGTAATAAAATTTTCTTCTTATTTTCACACTTAACAACTTTTTGTGTCCAATCATATGTATTCTGAGAAAGTTATAAGATTCAAGAAGCTTTACAAATTTTATATTATTGGCTCGGTCTAAAGACCTCCTATTGTTGTGCCAAATTTTTTTGGGAAATTTTATTTTGATTTTATATGAAAAAACGAAGAAAAAAATCACACTTTCATACACAAACTTGCTTGATTTAATCAAATTGTTACTTGAATGAAATTTTATGTATTGCAAAAAATAAAAAAAAGCAATTTTTACTAATTATTAATTTTTTTGCATGTGAGCAATAATAATAACAAATCATATAAATAAATAAATAATATATATAAAATGTTTAAACCAAAAACAAATTTCTTAATATTAAGGCAACTATCTTTTAACAATTTGATGTAGTTAATTAATGTGCCTATTGTTATGTCAAAATAATCAATGACCATATATTTTCCCTATGAAAAATAAAATACGGAATTAATGTATTTCTTATACGGTTTTGAAAAATTACCCCTTTTCAAATTTAGTGTGAAATACAGAATTGATACGGAATCAGTACAAAATTTTTAAAATAATGAAAAGGTACGTTTTAATACCGCATATAAAATACGGGATAGGTACGGAATTTGTAACATACTGAAAAGTCATATATAAGGTACGGAATTTGTGACATATTAATACTAATACTGAAAGCAAAAATATCGAAACAGAATCTCAGAGTTATGATCAACAACTTTATAATACATGTAACTCAATATCTAAATCGTAATTGCTTCACAGGTAAGTATTACAGTCAATAGCACAATTAATTATACAATTGACATTTTTGTGACAGCCATTACCGAATTTTGAATTGACTCGCAATCATATAAAACGATAACATATCCTCTGCTGTTACTCCAAAGCTCTTTCCACTATAAGGGGAACGTAATCAATTTATTAATTCGTTAATAAAACACTTAATGAATCCCTATGCTTAGAACTAAATTTTAGCATAGATGCGGAAAATGTACAACAAATAGATTGTTATTGCATTTTTGGTTTGCAAATTGTGAAAAAAAAACATTAGTTCGACAATCAATTTATTATAAGATACGGGAGGAGATAACCAAAGCATATTTTAAAACTCCATTTCAAATCAACCTCATATGTCTAAAAAAATATATATTATTTAAACATGTTATTTTAAAAATAAATGCAAGTTGTGTGTGAGTTATCCAAATTGTTGGTATTCAATCTGCCCAACCTGACGGATTATCTGGATCATCCGATGAAATCCAATACCAATGGATGTAATGGATGGATGACGACGGAGTGATTTTTGAGATCGGATATCAGCGAATATCAGAATTGGTTTTCCCAACTTTGCATTATTTAATCACAAATATACTTTTCTACAATATTCTCTGCCAGAAGCATTTCACTAAAATTCTAATTCTTTCTGTCCGGTGTTAATAATCTTTCAAGCACCATTACCGGTCTATTAGTAGATTGATCGTCTATGCTCGAAGTTTTTTCATTCTTCTGCCAGGCACAAAATCTTCAAAACACAGAAACATTTACAATAAATATTATTTTTACAAGAAAGCTCATCAGTAAGTGAAATAGTAATGGCAAAAAACAAAGTACTACGAAAATGATTGCGTAATGTAGCTTAGTATTATCAAAATCATGGACAATGTCTATGACTCGTGTGTCTAGATTCTGATTGCCTTTTTTAATTAATAGATTTTATGCCAACCATAACAAAAACGGCAGGAATTACCAAAACACTTTTTAAGAAATTTAAAAGTTTTTAATATTTAAATTTATATTGGTGATTTTCAATTTAGAATCCTAAAGTTTTATTTCAGGCTTTATTGCAGTCCATCCCATCTAATAACGATTAACCAATTAATGATCTAGATTTTTAATAGGTTCGTTGATTCTGTCGATGACAAAGCCTTTGTTACATTAATTGTATAAAGGAAAATAAAATTTTAATTCATTCATTAAGCCAATATAATATTAATATCAATATTAATAATAATAACTCCAAGTAATAATTTTTTTAATATAAATTAATGTTAAATGTCAATATCGATAATTTTTCTTAAACATAACTTATAATTTATTGATTAATTAATTAGTCAACCTCTTGAGATCTAACACGAGCTTTAGAATTGGTAACCCTAATATTCAATTGTTGAGCTCTCTCAAGAATTGAAATTCTTTTTCTAGAGCTGACTTTTGACGCAATTTCAGCTGCAAATGTTTTGTTGTGCATAAGCAATAATTCCAATTCTTTAACGTTATATACTAAGAATTTCTTAAATCCATTTGGCATTAAATGTCGAGTTTTCTTATTTGATCCATAACCAATTTTTGGCATTGGAATTTGCCCTTTAAATCTTCGTCTAACACGATTGTCAATACCCTTTGGTTTTCTCCATGCTACCTATTAACCAATAGATTTTTTCTGTGTTAAGATCAAAAAAAACAAAGTATACATATAATATAATATTAAAAAAAAAAGAACTGAATTAATTACCTTTACAGATTTATATCTATCTGACTGATGTCTTATAAAAGGTTTAATACGTTTCTTGACAATCTTTACTTTCTTAATAGGATTAACCATTTTTTTATATTTTTATTTAACTATATTATCATCACCATACAAAGAAAAATAATTAATATTAATAATTAATATAGATTGAGCGAGTAATGAAGGAAATGATTTATTATTAATTGTTCACCTATTTTTTATTTATTTTCTAGTAAAAAAAAAAGATGGATTTTTTTTTTAAAAAAAATTGTTCGTGCAACAGTAGAGTCTACGCCACACTTGATAATTTTAGAACTATAGTGCACCAAAACAGGAGAGACCGTCCTATATAAGGAATGGATTTTCACAATTGATTTCAATTTTTTTTATACAGTTTAAAATACT